AAAAAAAAAAAGTGATGCCAGACAAATGAATCTCCTCCCATTTATTCATTTTCTATCTCTACCAATTAGCAAAGAGAACTTCCGTTCATTAAATATGGAAGGAAAAATCTGCCAGAGAAAACAGGAAGTGAAAGGAACAAGTAGCACCGTGACTACAGAAATAGAAAGGCTTCCTTCACACTACTTTGCTTGTTCTGGCTAGCCATGAACATGCCAATTGTTTCACAGAATAATATTCTATCTACTCTTTTAAACATAATTATTTCTTAAGAGAATAGTCTTATTTCATGCCACTTTAGGATTCTTTTTAAAAGTTAACACAACATTCCTTAAGTAATACAAAACTGACATGAAAGATCATACAGAATTGGACATAAACTCTAAAAGAAAGTATTAGTAAAGCACACTTTGCAATTTTAGGAGATTTTGGAATTGAGTGTTTGTGGGCAAATAAGTCTACTTCTAAAGGACATAGTCATTTGAATATGAACATTTTTAGAACTTGCAGCAAAAAAGAGTGCTTAATAAATTCTGGATGAGAACGTGATCAATAAATTTGTTGTATAAATTCACCAAGGCAAATCTTTACTGAAAATGACTCCTACTCCACTCAAACTGCCAAATAAAATTCATTATTATAATGGTGATATCAGAACTCTAGTTGTAAAGAACTCAAAAGATCTTTAAGTAAAACAAAAGAAAATAAAACCCAGCACCTTGCAGAGACAAGATGCTGGCTTCAGCCCTGAGGAAGATTATCCATTTTTGACAATGAACTAGAGAGGAGGCAATAATTATCAGTTGCCACCACTTTGAAATTCAGATTATTTTCAATGTGTGTACAACTGGCAACTTACTTTCTTTCTTCCTGGTATATTCTTCCTTAAGATCTTGGATATTTGCAGTCAGTACTTCCAATTCTTGCTTTTTACCTTTTACTTCAGCAATCATCTTCATCAAGTTATCCTTTTTTTCTTCAATGAGCTTATTCTGCTTGTAGATCTCTATAAGAAACACAAAGTAGTAGCTAATATATGCTTTGTTCTTTGACATGTATCTTAGCTAAAACCAAAATACTGATTTTTCAAGATTAATAATACTTTAATGGATAAGTATTTCCTAACAATAATAAAGTTGTGAACAACAAAAAAAATCTTAACCTATTCTTTCCTACTTGTCTTTGAAAATAAAAATGAGGGGTTCTCCCTGGTGGTACAATGGGTTAAAGCACCCCATTATGAAACTCTCTGAAGCCACTGCAGCATGAGTTCAATCCCCAGCCAGGGAGCTGACACACATATGCGGTAGACCTCTTCTGACATGCCGGCTGCTCCCCTCACCAGTGTACTTTGTCAATCTGCCTGTTCTGCTCCCCACTCTGTCTCTGGTGAATCCTCTCTCCCACAACACCTCTGGCCTATACCCCAGTTCTGTAAGCATAAATAAATAAATCGAAAACACAGAAAGAGAATCAAAAAGGAAAATTAAATTGAAGTAAAAAGGAATGAAGAGATACTCCAAGAGCTATCTGACACCATGAGGAAAGGAAGTATCAGCTACAGGTCTCCCAGAAGGTGAGGAGAAAGGCCAAGGAATCAAGAAAACATTCACAGAGATAATTGAAGAGAACTTCCCAAATATGAAGAAAGAGAGGAAAACAGACATACAAGAAGCAAGAAGGACACTAACATGATGAAAGGAGAAATATAGCAAGACAACATAATAGTAAACCTCCCAAGAATCCAAGACAAGGAAAAAATGATGAGATTGGCAATAGAGAAGAAACAAATAATCTATAAAGGAAAACCAATCAAGCTGACATCAAACTTCTCCAAAGAAACACTAAGGGCAAGAAGAGAGTGGAGGGACATACTCAACAAACTCCAAAACATCAAATGCCAACTAAGAGTACTTGATCCTGTGAAGCTCTCTTTCTTCTATATAAGAGAATAACAACATTCTCAAACAAACAGAAACTCCACAATTTTGTCATGACTAAACCCCCACTCCAAAAAATACTACAAGAAGTCCTTAAGCCAAAGCTAACAGAGGAATGAACAAGAACAGATCAAAACAAGGAATAAAAGAATAAAAAAGACAAAAAAAAATGGAAAATACAGTTGCCAATGTATCAATATTAACTTTAAATAAATGGTTTAAACTCATCAATAAAGAGACACAGAGTTGTAGGCTAGATTAAAAAACAGAACCCAACCTCCTCTCTCCAGGAAACATATCTAACTACAAAGAACAAATAGATTGAAAGTAAAAGGATGGAAACAATCCTACAAGCAAATCCCAAAAAAGAAGGCAGGAACAGCTATTCTTATATCTGATAAATAGACTTCAAGCAAAAAAGGTTAAAAGAGACACAGATGGCCACTACATTATGATTAAGGGGACAATACAGCAAGAAGACATGACACTCATATCTGCACCAAATGAAGGAGCACCAAAATATATCAGGAAACTATTGTCATCTATGAAAATGTGTATTAGAGAAAACACATACATACTAAGAGCCTTCAATATGCCACTCTCAACAATGGACAGATCAAAAAGACAAAAAATAAGCAAGGACACTAAAGCTCTAAACAAAGACATAGACCTCAAGGGTCTAACAGACATCTATAGAACATTGCACCCCAAAAAAATCTGAGTAGACATTTTCCTCAAATACAATACATGTGGGTCATCCTCAAGGATTGACCACATACTGGGACACAAGACAAGTATCAATGGTTACAATAAGATCGAAATCATACCAACTATTTTCTCTGACCATGAAGGAACCACACTAGAAATAAACCATGTGAAGAAGGCAAGAAACCCGCCTACCACATGGAGACTGAAACCCACACTATTGGAGGACCATTGGATAAATGAAGAGATCAAGGAAGATATTAAATACCTTGAGGAGAATGAAAATGAGGACACAACTCTACAAAACTTATGGGACACATGAAAAGCAGTTATAGGCCCTCCCTGGTGGCGCAGCGGATTAAAGCACAGCACTAAGAAGCTAAAGCCACTTGCGCATGAGTTCGATTCCCGCCTGCCCCGGAGGTGACCACTTGGAGCGGCAGACCTCCCCTGGCCCGCCCACTGCTCCCCTCAGTAGTGTACTTTGTCAGTCAGCCTGTTCTGCTCCCCACTCTGTCTCTGGTGAATCCTCTCACCACTCCTGCATCTCTGGCGTGTACCCCAGTTCTGTATGCACAAATATATCTTCAAAAAAAAGTTGTAAGAGAAAAATATACCGTCACACAGGCTCATAGAACAAACAAGAAACAACTCAAATAAATAACTTAATCTCCCACCTTAAAGAACACCTCTCCTGACCTACCTGCTATGTTCTGTTTCTAGTGAATTCTCACCCCCTGCACCTCTGGCCTATACCCCAGTTCTGTATATATAAATAAATGAATGTAGGGGAAAAAAAGAAAATACAATTGCTAATTCTATTTTCCCTGGTCTTTTCCATTCACCGATGTCTCAAATTAGGGAAGAAATGTAATGCTGTGAGCACAAACAAGACATCCTGAGTCAATCTGATAATGTGGGGAAAACCAGAGTTGATAATGATGATGATGACAACAATAAGACCTACTTTGGAGAACTGTTATGGTCACTGAAGAAAATGTGTATGAAGAGTTTAGTACAGTAGCTGGCGCAGAGTAAAAATTCTAGGCTATTTTCTTTCCTTTTCACATTCTTCCATAGCTTCACACACAACCCACACCCATCTCTGCCCACCACATCTCAATCAATACACTGAAGTCTCTTCAAAATTCTGTCTTTAGCAAAAACATTTTCTGAGCCGGATATCTGCACTTGCAAGGTCCGTAGCCCACAAACACAATAATCTCACCAAATTCATCCAACACCCTGAAAATTGAACTCACTTATATCTATTTTCCTTCCACCCCTAAAAACATGATCCTCATCCTCCAGTAAACATAGCGCCACTGATCTGTCCAAAGCAGAAGGAATCATCCTAGACCACATTGTCCCTCACACCCAATCAGTCACACATCCACCTTCTCAGAGTCTCACTGGTCCAAGTCATCCTCACTGTTTGCCCCAAGTGAGGAGCTAGCTTCTTCCTCTGACTGGCCTTTAGGACCCACCATCTCACCCCCTCCTGCTTTGAGTACCTGACACCACACGAGTGTTTTTTTACTGAAATACAAGTACAATACTATTTTCCAGGGTGAAATCTTGTAGTAACTCTTTAATCTCCTGAACAATGAAGCCTTAACTACTCTGAACAACTTACACCTCATCATCTAAGCAGCCACTTCGCTGTCACACCCTATTCACTTACTCCAGCCATCCCAGAACCCAACAAGTGCTCTCATTTCTCATTTATGCCATCTACTTTTTCCTCTTCTAGAATATAGAGCTGAACCTGGTACCTTGACCAGTGCTCTGTCCTCTCCAGGCCGATGGGAATAGTTCTACTTTGACCCTTCAAATCAATTTTCAATGGATTAGCAGTTGTCTAACCACTAGCAATTCATTTAACCTCTCTGTGCCTATTTCCTCACTTATGAGACAGGTTTAAAAACAGTAATTATCCTCACACGGTTGTTATAAGCAAGTCACTATACACAAAGAAAGTAGAATAGGGCTTAGCACATGATATACAAGACAAAGGTTTAGCTATTAAATATTCTGCATGTAGACTTTGGCTACATGCCTGTGGTCTCTATGTGAGAACTTAGTAAGAGCTACTGATTCACTGGACACTATATAAAGAACAATAATAAAAATATAGAAAGTAAAACATTCAGAGTGCTAATCACAGCCCCAAAATGTCGAAACCCCAACTTTTCAAACCCCATCCTGGGATTTCCAATGGAAAAACAAATCTGGCACTTACAAGAGCTAAAAATAAGCTAAATGCTCATCGACAAATGGATAAAGATGTGGTATATGTACAGAACAGACTACCATACTTAATATGAAAAAGGATGAAATCTTGCAATTTGCAGTAACATGTACAAATCTAGAGGCAATTAAATTTAGTGAAATAAGACAGAGAAAGACAAACACCCTATGATTTCACTGATATGACATAAAGAAAAACTAATAGATAAGATGGACTAAACAGACAAAACCAAACTTTTGGATCAAACAAAGGAGAAAATACACACATTACATAGCAACATAAATGAATTTCACAAACACAGGCATACCTCATTTTATTAGGCTCCTCTCTTTTGTACTTTGAAGACATTACTTTTACAAACTTAAGTTTGTGGCAACCCAGAATTCTCTAAGGCCACCAGAACCATCTTTCTAACAGCACATGCTCACTTGTGTCACATTTAGTTAAGGTATATACACTGCTTTCTTAAACATAATGCAATTCACAAGTAATGGATGACAGTATAGTGCAAATGTAACTTTCACATGCACTGGAAACCAAAAATTCTGACTTGTTTCATTGTGATATTTGCTTTATTGCTTTGGTTCTGCAGGGAACCTGCAACAGCTGATATGTGCCTATATAATGATGGAAAAAGGGAAAGAATACATACAAAATGCCACTTATATAGCATTCAGAAACACAACACAAGGCATTGATATGCTAGCCCTGAAAGGTGGGGGAAAAAAGCTGGTTTGTGGGTGGGTATATGAATGTTTGTTACTTTTAAGTGTGTGTCTGTGTACAAACACAGTACTCTATTTTACTTGTATGATAGATTTTATAAAGCAGGTTAGTCTAAAAACAAAAACCCCTATGGTCTACATTTTGTCACATACGATTTTGATATTCCAGAAACATCTCAACCATGCGTTCTTCTTCCTTTAATTTCACAGACAGTTTTTCTGAAAAAGAAATTGGAATTAATGATTCAATTCACTGAAATAACACTAAAAAACAAGCGGACACAAATTAACTGGAGGTACCTGCAAATGCTTTCATGGAGTCCTTGTAGGTATCTCGTAGCCCTGCCATCTGACAGGAGGTGTCACTGACAGTGCTTTTGAATTTATTCCAAAATTCATTTATAGTTTTATCAAATAATGCCAGTTCGTCCTCTACCATTTTGAAAAGAATGCTACAAGACAAAGAGAACACATATTGTGCGCTTTAAGTTATTAAAATTAAATCAGTCACGTGTACCAATCAAGTATTTTGATAGACGGTCATTTGCTGGCAAATGGTTAGCAATGTACTGTTAACTCTAGGTATTACAGGACAGATCAAGCTACCTGGACTCAACTACAGGTAAATGCAGTAAGAATAGTAAGAATCCAAGACACCCTTACCTCGGAGGAAATCGTCAGTGGAATAGCCAGGACACAAACTCTATAACCCTGGGGAAATGGTTCTGACTCCATGTTCTCACTAGTAATATTGGTGACTCAAGGGATTCCTGTAACTCTCCAAGCCCAAACAGTTCTCTTTACACTAAAATCTTCCCAATAACCCAGAACCTTTCCAGAAGGGGAAATTCTGAATCTCTTGACCTAGCCTTGGCCCACAGTGCTGGCGCAGACGGTCCCAACAGCATCATTCAAGCATTTTCCCCTCCCGCCCCCAAAAACACACACTCCGCCCTCAAACCCACTTTCCCTTAATGCAACAGGCAGGTCGGAGAGCCCAGCTGCCCAGCTCATCCTTACCTCCCTCACAGTCACCAGCAGGTCTGAGCTCCGCCGCCGTTCTCCACAAAAGACCTAATTTCAACCAACAGCTGTTTATATGCAGTTCCGGCAGGCTCGTCAACTTCTCTATTTCAAACGAGGGCGCTTTCCGCCTTCCGCCCTAGGGCGCCCTATTCGCCTTTGGATTGGCTGATTGCAAAGGCTCTCTATAAAGGGATTGGTTGTTTCGGCCCTCCGAGATTCTCGCGGAAAAGCTAGGGAACGAGGCATTCTGGGATTTGTAGTTTGTTTTGAGTGACCTACGAATTCTCAGATTCTCTTTTATAAAGTTAGGATAGACCCTCTCTGGTGACGCAGCGGGTTGGAGCGCGGCACTGCGAAGCTGGCCGTGGCCACTATAGTGCGAGTTGGAACCCCCGCCCCGGAGGTGATCCACATGGCGTGGCAGACCCTTGACCCCCCACCCCCTATGCCTCAGCAGTGTATTTTATAGATCTGCCTGTTCTGCTCTGTCTCCAGTGAATCTGCTGACCGCCCCTGCATCTCTGTCCAGTACCCCAGTTCTGTATGCATAAATAAATAAAAATCTTAAAGAAACTGTATTTGTTTCTAAAAAGAAAGTTATGATAGTCCCTGGAGTATTCTCCCCAGGCCCAGAAATTATCCATTGAAATAAATGGTTATCTAATAAGTATGGATACTGAATTTTGGTCATATTCTGCTGCCAAATTTATACTCTTTTCTTTGATACTACCTTCAGCTTAAATAAACCTAATACTAACCAATAAAGCTAATTTAAATGTCATTGTTTAATTTGTGTCACAGTTAATAATTTTTCATTGGGAAATGGAGTATTACAACTTATTAACTTTTAATTTGAGCAATTCCCAAATGTCCTGCTTTTTGTTTTTGATCTTGTAAAACATGAACATTAAAATGCAGAACCTAGTACTGATACACCGTACCCTAGAAGACACTTGATGTCAAAAAACTTTCCATGGCCAAGGTTCTTGGTGTCTACCTTCTCTGATAGACTGTGTAGCAGATAAAACTGAAAAGGAAATGGGGGAGTTAGAAGTAATTCAAGATTTCTAGGCTGAACGTGATGCTGCTGACCAAACAGGAAAGTATCTTCCTAGTGAATTTGCTATGTTGGGGTACAGGTGTTATGGGGGAGGTATAGCCATGATAGGAGTTATGGTTTTAATGTGTTGAGCTTGAGAGGAGATTGTTGGAAGATACAAGTGTTATGTGCTATAGGCATTTTACTTTTCTAACTACCAAAATTGTTAACTGCTCAACCTGCAAAAAAAACTCCTTGAATTTGGAATTCATGCTGTATCATTTACTAAGTATGAGTATGGGCAAGTTTCCTTGACTCTTGAACCTCAGTTACCTAATTCATAGAGGATAATAAATAATAGTAATAATAATAATAATAATAATAATACAATACTTTGCTTATATACCCAATGTAAGGACTAAATGGGATAATAAATGCAAATGCCTTAGAACAGTTCTCTGTAACATAAATACTTAAAAATGGTTCTTGTTTTTATGATCTATGTTCTACCTACTTCTAATGTATGATAATACCATACTAAAATAAATATAAATTAGTCTTTAAATAGAATAAGGTCTAAATAAGCAAAGAAATAGAGAATTTTTTACAAGGGAATACCTACTTCAAGGAGTTGATATACATGGCTCCCTTTGCAAGACATCACGCTCGCTCTTTATGTTAAAGAAACAAGCATTCTACTATGTTTAAATAAATACAGAATACCTTCCTTCTCATCTAAGTCAAATGAATTAATAATTGTGGCTATTTAGTATTATCCACTTAATACTTTGCTAATGTCTCACAAGAATAAGTTTTAATATCAGAATAATGACACTGAATTTTAAACAACAATCAGAAAACAGATTCAGTAATTTCCTTAAGCCATTATTAGTTTTTTTTAATTTTTATTTATTTTTTAAAGATTTATTTATTTATGCATTTAGAGCTAGGGGTACAGGCCAGAGGTGCAAGGGCAGTGAGTATTCACCAAAGACAGAGTGGGGAGCAGAACAGGCAGATCAATGAAGTACACTGCTGAGGGGAGCAGTTGGCAGGTCAGGAGAGGTCTGCAGGGCCATGTGGATCACCTACAGGGCAGAGATAGAACTCATACTGAAGTGGCTTTAGCTTCTTAGTGCTGTGCTTTAACAGGCTACACCACCAGGGAGGGTCCAGCCATTATTAGTTTGAGATAATAAATAATTTCCTCTGCTTGGATTAATTCTTGCCTCATTTCTCTAAAACATTCCTGATAGAATATGGCAAAGCACTACTGTTCCATGAGCAAAATGGAGAAAGTTTATCAGTAAGGCCTTGAGATATGCACCACTGACACAAGGCTACAAATTAATCTTTTATACTAAGGTGAGCATTTTATAGCTGACTCTTTTTCTGCCTTCTTTAATGGATTGTTGTTGTTGTTGTTGTTAACTCCATGTGTGAGTAGGCAGAAATAGGTATTCCTCAAAATAGTCTTATTGTTTAAAGAAAATACCCTTCTTTTCAACTCCTCCAGTTTCTCTAACAATGTTTCTCAAACCTGCAAGAACAATATGGTACTATCTTGCCGAACTTCAAACTTTAAAGAACTAAAGCACTATCAAAGTAATTTGCTACATTCCTTGGCAAGTGCCCAGAAAGCATACCAGCTATTCAGCTCTAATTCACCCAGTGGTTGACAGGATGTGTGGAATCATGGAGTCAGGAACTCCAAATAAATGAAATTAATTCACTGTTTGAATCCTTCTTTGTAAAGTTGAAAAATAAAGAAAAATGGAAAAAGAACCCAGATGATCTACAATATAAGGAATGAAAAATACAAATGACTATTATTATGGAGTAAAAGTTCTTATATTCATCTTTTTTTAAGATTTATTTATTTATGCATACAGAACTGGGGTACAGGCCAGAGGGTGCAGGAGTAGTGAGAGGATTTACCAGGAACAGAGTGGGGAGTAGAACAGGCAGAATCGGGAGAGGTCTGCTGTGCCATGTGGGTCACCTCCTGGCCAGGAATCAAACTCTTGTTGATTCCTGTGGCTAGCTTCATAGTGCTGTATTTTAACCCATTGCACCACCAGGGAGGGTCCTTATTTTTGTCTTTGTCTTTGTCTTTTTCTCTTTGTGAAGAGAAAGACCATGACTACAGGCCAAAAGATTTTTACTATATGGCTACTTTCTTTCATCATCATTAAGAATCCCAATACCAACAATGAAATATATATGTAAATAACATGCTCAGGACTATCAGATAGTGGACATTCTATCCCCAAAAGCTAGATTAACACCAATGAAGTCAGGAGAATCTATTATTTCTAACATCATTTAATCTATCACAACGTGGTCAGTTTTCAACTTAGTAACTGTTTTTAATAAACTTAGAGATACAATTTGCTGGAAGGTCTCCCTTCATTTTACAAATATTTGCTCCACAAATACTAATTTCATATATTTGGCAGTATTTGCCTTAAGATGAAATTTTATGATTTGGGCATTTTAGAAATTCAGCTCAGTGAGTAACAGTGTTCACTCACTTGATTAATGAACATGAGTCTTAATAAGATTCGTAGACAGTGCTGATTTGGTCACCATTTTGAGGACTTACTAGATGAGTTTTTAGGTGGCTGAGTGAAGATTCCTACTCTGTTTGGGCCTTGGACTGGAGGAGGGTGATGGCCTTACTGATGTGTAGTTTTTACAGAGAATGGGCTGTCTATTGTCTTTTTTTTTTTCAAACCTCCTTCCCAATTACAATGAGAGGGAGAAATGTCTGTGGGTTTTTTATCCAATTTTTCATCTCTAGAAGACTGTATGTGTGATTTCTCTCACTTTCCACAAAGAACCAGCTGTGTCTCTGCTCAGACAGAGTATAAGGCCTGCAGCTTCTTTTGCTTTAAAAAGAAGAAAGCTGGGACCTCCCTGGTGGCACAACCGGTTAAAGCACAGCTCTGTGAAGCTAGCTGCAGCTGCTTCAACATGAGTTCATTCCCCAGCCAGGGAGCTGACCCACATGGCACAGCAGACCTCTCCTGTCTTGCCTGTTGTTCCCCTCAGCAGTGTACTTCATCAATCTGCCTGTTCTGCTCCCCACTCTGTCCTTGGTGAATCCTCCCATTGCCCCTGCACCTCTGGCTTGTACCCCAGTTCTGTATGCATAAATAAAGAATCTTTAAAAAGAAAGAAAGAAAAAGCTCTTCACAACCCTATACAATACCGCCATCATACTGTCATCATATGGATATCCCTTCCACTTCAACCCAAGAGGGACTTGTTGGGTGCCTATTACTGGCTATGCACTGAGTTGGCTGCTAATTTAGAGAAGGAAGACAGCACACCTTTCCAGCATGGAGGTATTTCTAGGGCATGATTATTAGAACCATGCTCAGATTGACTGAAAGATTCATTGCTCCTTCCCTGAAAATTTAATACTTTCTCTAGTGGGTGAAGGATAGGATACAAGGAAAAAGGACATTGTCCCCTGCGGCACAGCCCGGAAAGCTTGAGGACCACTACTTCACACAAAGTGAGTGTTCTTAAAACCTCTTAGAAATATGAACACTGCCATAAAATATTTTCTATTGTGAAGAAAAATGAATGCAATAACTCAGTGGGTAACTCTGTTGGGACTTTTAGTGATGTGAGAAAAAGTGCATGATTGTATAGATCATGATCATTTCTGGAGAAGACTGTATGAGGAGAGCAATGGAGGAAGAAGCTGAAACAGCTCAAGCTGGGTCACTTAGCATAGTGACATCAGAGAATGCTAATATTCCGGGGACACTAGCCAGAATGGAAATAATTATGTTCTGAGAGTCACTAGGATCTAAACTGAGTCTGAAATAAAAATTTGTACATAGAAGGTAACAATGGAGAGATCTGAAATATACTTTGTTTTACAGAAGGCAGATAAGCTTGTGGTAAAAAGATAATGCACTAAGCATGCATAGAGACTTACAAAATAAATTTTTTCATACTCTTCTGTGCCAGCAGCACAAGTTAAAATCAGGTATCTTTGAACGACGTTGAATTGCAATAAGCA